AACATTTCAGGAAAGAATCCCGTGCTTGCTTTTCATCCTATCGTGCTTACTATTTTAAATAATCTCTGTCGAAAAACACTTACCTCTCGATAGGAAAGCTAATCCTACGACAGCTTTAATACGTGCGTATACCGATGGCCGATTTGTATACAAGTTTTAAATGACTGTCCTATTTTTATGCCGCTTCGTCTAGCTATCTCTGATTGAATTTTGATGGGTACTAGCAGTGCTTTTTATTTTTTTTCCAGCTGCGGTATTCGCCCCTTAACGGCGATCTTGTTGTTTTGTTTTTTTGAACGTAACTCTTGCTTTTTTTCTTCCCATTCTTAGCGAGTACTACGAGCGCGTTTCTATCCTCTCGCATCCATGCGATGGTCCCCTGTTCGCGGATTTGCTACGTAAGTAGGAGTCCTTTTTGTTATTTTGAACCTTTTGATTTAACTCTGTGCGTTCAGTTAAATTTGACGTGCCAAGAATGTCAGGGCCCTTTTTACATACAAAAGAATACATATAAAAAATTACTTGATTATTTGACCTTCCTTTTTGGAAAAAGTGCCCGGAAGACGAAGTGTAATCCAATAATTATCAGGAGTACATTGGCTAAATGAAGGCAAAAGTACAGGAATCGTTATGGTGCAGGACGCTGCATAAAATCTTAATTGAGCATGAAAGTATCCATAAATTTATTCAGGCGAGGTCTAAAATTATCACCGATTGCTTAGTGAAATGTCAAAAATTTTCGAAAATTTAAACACTTCACCGATACAGGTTACCTTGTCGTTGTCGGCACGTGGGGACCTGGTGCATAGTTGAACGCACTTGAATGACTAATAACGCTCTCGAGAAAACTATCGTGAGCTGCAAATATTACATATTGATGAGTTATAAGGTATTTGGCATTTATCAACGCAGCGCTTATGCAGCCTACTCGTGTGTAGTCAGCGTGAGCGGTAATCTGTTTCTCAACCTTTGGCATTCTGCCAAATATTTTTGTTACAAATTCTTTCCTCGGCAGGGGTCTACCAGGTGTTTTGCAAATCCAACAATTTAATCGGTGCTATTTTATACACGGGTTTCGCTTTAATGTCAGCCTCACCTTTTCCCTCATAGTCGACCTCCTCTTGAGGT